ATTTCCGACCCGGACAATTTTAGGGGTCTACAGCTACCCGCAGACATGTAATCGTAAACGAGCAATTTCTCGTCCTTGGAGAAGTAAAACACTCTGAGAGGAACCACATTCTCGTGCTTAATCTTCCCCAAAGCCTCCATTTGCATCTCGAACTCTTTCTTCGTCACCACGACATCCTTAAGCCTCTTCACCACCACCGTCGTCCCCTCCTCCAGCACCTCCTTGTACGAAGTCCCAACAATCCCTTTCCCCAACACCTCCGCCGAAGCCCTCAACAAATCCTCCAAATTGAAACTGTATATCCCCCCTTCGGAAAACACAAGCTTGTTCCTCTCCGCCTCCGCCTAGCCCCCCGTAATATCCTCCTTCGACGACGACGTCCCCGCCTCCGCTGGCACGGCACGCGCCGCCGCAGTAGCCTCCTTCGGCGGCTTCGCCGGCTACCTTCGCCTAAATTTGGAACAAATTGATTGTGTTTCCAAAGAGGAGGAGAATGATATCGTGTTTCTGGGAGGGTTTCGAGGGTTTCTGAACCAACGAAAAAGATAACCATTTCTAAACTCTCTATTGACGACGTTGTCGAGGGTTTCGAGGGAGGTGGGTCATCACGAGAGGGAGCCCATTCTAAGAGGGCAAATGAGTTTGACGAGATGGAGCGTTCGACGAGAGGGACGAGAGGGACGAGAGGGAACATTCAGAAGAGAGAAGGGGTGTGGGGTTGGGAGATGAGGAAGGGTATGTGAAGAGGTAAGGAAGGGGGTGTGAAGGTATTTTTCTTAGTAGTGCAAGAATAGTTTTGTTAATATTGAAAAGAGAATAGTGCACGCTTTGATCAATTGTTGCCTATATGTATTTTTGGGAACGGTTTTATGATTGTTGTCAAACAAAATGTCAACAGTTTACAAAATTGTTGTCTATATGTGTTTTTGGAAACGGTTTTATGATTGTTGTCAAACAAAATGCTAACAGTTTACAAAATTGTTGCCTATATGTGCTTTTGGGAACGATTTTATGATTGTTGTCAAACAAAATGCCAACAGTTTACAAAATTGTTACTTATTCCATATTTCGAGAACATTTTTTTAGGCGTTGCCTAAAAACTCGTTGCCTAATATAAAAAATGTTGTAGTGTGAAATGCTTGGATGATTTCCATAAGTATTTGGTTTCACTAACTCTTTATGTGTTGGATGTTGCCTACTCCTTATCTTTTCCCAGGATTCATTGAGGATTGTGTAAATCTGTTTGTTTTCTTGTGCGTATTCTTGTTTTTGTTTCTTCATGTTGTGTCACTCTCTTTGCTGTCTTTGGAATTGTTCCTTGCTCTGCTTTTTGATTTTGCCCAGGAGTGCAAAAGGCTAAGTGTGGGGGAATTTGATGAGTCATTATTTTCCCCTATTTTCTTACATTTCTGTACTTATTTTAATCTCTAATTTGTGCTTAATTGTTTATATTCTGCACTGTTTTCTATTTGGGCTTTAATTAGACCGGTAATTCATATTTTAACAAATTTGAACTTTCTGAATCTAATTATTCCAAATTTCATTTTCAAGGCAGTTTAATAATTATCTGGGCTTGGAATTAATTTATGGACTTCAAGTGGAGCTGCCACATCATCTTCCACGTCATCTGCCATGTCAATGCTACACCATTTTCCACCTCAGCATTTATTTTCCATTTTAACTCTATTTTAATGTAACTTGGGTCAGATTTGTATTGATGGGGGCCCAATTTCGTTTTAGGTCAACTGCACCTAGGGTAGGGCTGACTTGGCAGCCATTAAGGAGGAGGCTGATGTGACTAGGTAGGGGGCTGCCTCTCTTTAGTTTTCTGGACGTTTTTCTTTCATGCAGCTACAGTGTTTTTACGTTTCTGGTTCCCTGTTGCTTTCATTTTTGTTTTGTTCTCTTTGAGCTACCATTTTCGTTCTTCTCTTGTCTTCTCTGGTTGTGCTGGTTGTAGAACTTGAATATTTACATTTGAAGAATACATTTCATTTTCGTTTCTCTTCTCTGCCTTGAAATTTCATTTTCGTTTTCGTTTTTATTTCGGTTTGTATTTCCGTTTGTATTTTCGTTTGTGTTTCCGTTTAATGGAATACTAAAAACCCTTGGGGTTGGTTCCTTGAGCAGATTGCAATATCTATTTGAGGTTTTATTTGTATTTGGATATGTGTTCTGCTTGATACCTGTTCATGCTTAATGAATCAGGTTGCTCACAAGTTGCTTAATCTTGTGGGGAGGTTTAATGTTGTATATGTTTGCTTAATTCGTGTAGGGAA